TTACATTTTAGGGGGAGCATGCGTGTGTTAAGATATGTGTGTAGAAGTCAGAGGACGACTTATAGGACTCAGTTCTCCTTTCATCGTATCGGTGCCAGGAATTGAACTCAGGCTCCTCAGGCTTGGCAGCAGGGACTTGTGTCCACTGACTCACCTAGCTGCCCCCAGAGTTTTATCTGATTTGTTTACTGCTGTATTAAAAGAGAATTCAATGCAAAGTTGGCATTTAATAAATATTTACTGAACTAAAAACATATTTTTCAACTTATGTCTCTCCTCTATTTAGAACTCTTTGGTGATTCCCAAAACAGAGTCCTTAAACCCTTTGGTCTCAAGAACCCTTTATACTATCAAAAAGCATTATACACTAAGATGTTTTTTATATATACATATACATAATATGCATATATATAATGTGTGATTACCTCAGGAATTAAAACTGAGAAATTTAAAAATGAACATATAGATCCATTTATGATGATAATATGGGGCTCTGGGCTAGCTCAGCAGTACAGCACTTACCTAGCCTGTGAGGCCCTGAACCTAGTCTCTAGCACCACAAAAAGCAGCAAATAAAGAAGCAATCAAATACCACAGTCTGTAAATACGAATAAAGTCTATAATAATTTCCGGAAGAGAGTGGGAGGACTGGCACTATTTACCTTTAAAAAAATCTGTTGAAATTTTTGACTTAGTAGGAGCTAATTATATTTCTATGCCTGCTCCTGAATTGAATCTATGATGATAAACCTAGAAGCTTCTGGAAAGTACACAGAACTCTCATGCGAGTGAGAATCCACACATTCATATACAACTGTGTCTTTGTGCCCCTGCTTCCCTCCTACTCTCTGTGGCAAGTCCCTGCTGGTCACTCACGGCCCTCACCTCCTGCCACCTCTCACAATTCACTCCCTCCCTCTCCCCCATAATGCATTGTTCTCTCTCCGGAACACATTGTGTTATCCTCTTGTTATCTAGATTAGTGTCTGTTCTTCCTCCAGACAGCTAGTTTCATATCCAAATAATCTATATTTTCCCAGCCCCTGTTGCAGTGTCTGGGAGTCAAACACTATGTCATAAATGCATGTTGAGTGGAGAGATGATGGGGTGAGAGGGAGAAGAGAGGTCTTTCCTCCCTGTAGTAACAGAAAATGCATAAGATTACAGATTTCAGAGTGGCAAATATGATGTGATTAAGCACATTACAGATAGGTGAACACACACAAAAATCTCATAATAAAATATTTTGTACAACAATTACATACTAAGTTGTTTTTTTTAAGGTTAAGTTAGGCATTGTGGCACACACCTTTAATCCCAGCACTTGGGAGGTAGAGACAGGCAGATCTCTGTGAGTTCAAGGCCAGCCTGGTCAACATAGTGAGTTCTTGTTCCAAAAATACATAGAGGCCAGGTCTTAGAAAAAGATTGTCAGTTCAGGGATATGGCTGAGTTAGTAGAACCCTTGCCTAAGAAGCTCAGGGCCCTGGGTTCCATCCCTAGCACTATGTAACCCTGATCCGGTGGTGCACACCTGTCATCCTAGTACTCCAAGGAAATGAAGAGCATCTTAACTACGCACTGAAATCCAGGCCAGTCTGGGCTGCACATGACCCTGGCTCAAATTAAAAATAAACAGTTTCAAAGTTTTCCTAACACTTACTCAGTTGGCCACATTGTTCATAAGGTGAATCTGAAACATTTTGTGGTTTTTCATATTTAAAGTGTGGGTGACCGATGGTGTGGGAGGTGTGTGGGGGGGGGTTGCAGCAGACAGAACACCAGTCTCACGTTACGAAGAAGGAACGCAAGGCTCAGGAGATGAAGTGTCTTGCCTTAAGGCACACTGAAATCAGCAACCTGGCCTGGCCGTGAATCCAGCTGTCAGACTTGGAATGAAGTGTGTTTCCCAGCTATCCCATGCCCATCTTGGAATGAAGTGTGTTTCCCAGCTGTCCCATGCCCATCGTGGAATGAAGTATGTTTCCCAGCTGTCCCATGCCCATCTTGGAATGAAGTGTGTTTCCCAGCTATCCCATGTCCATCTTGGAATGAAGTGTGTTTCCCAGCTGTCCCATGCCCATCTTGGCTGTGAGAGGCAGAGAAGTCAAGCACTCCAATGAACGCAATGAGGCTTTCTAAGCCACCTCTGTACAGACTTCACCACACTTCTGCTTTGCTCTTGCTATAAGACCATCTTAGTTCATGATATTTTGCTCTTTTTTCACTAATTTAAGACTTATTCTATTTTAAATCATTTATTTATTCCTGTGTGTATGTGCACAAGAGTACAGGTAACCACAAAAGCCAGAGGCTCCCCCCTGGAGCTGAAATTATAGGCAGTTGTGAGTCACCCAGCGGGAATGCTGGAAACCAAACCCTGGTCCCCTGCAGGAACAGCGCAGGTGCTTTTAGCCACCGAGTCGTCCCTCCAGCCTGTGTACATTCATTCTTACCAGCTTCTTCTCGTCATTTACCACTCACTGCCATCCACATCTTCCACACCTCCACCGTGGTAGAACATTCAGTTTGGGATCATCAGTGCAGCTGATGGGCATTTGGCCTTAAACAAGGGAAGTCACACCCTTTCCTTCCCTGGGTGTTTTATTTGCTCCCGGAACACAGCCCTCTCAAGCCTCCCCAGTATGAGCAATTCATTATCTTCCTTCAGTGTTTCTGCAATGCTTTGGTTTCATCTGTGCCATAACTTACATAACTTTGTTTTTTTTTCTCTATCTCCTTCCTAGATTGTAAGTTGCTCGATGCTATTTACCAGTCTTCAACCTCCTTGCACTCCTGAGACTGCCAACCCCTCCTCCTCTCTCGGAAACCTTCCTCCCTTTCCCATGACTCTTGGAGATCCTGATGCCTAGCTCTTTGGGAGGGTGTGGGTGTATTGGGTACATGTGTGAGGAGGTTGCACTTGCTCATATGGGCACCTTGACTGTCAGATGTTGGCATCAAGATATCTCCCTCAATCACATCTTTATTTTATTTACTCATTTTGAGACAGGGTCCCTCGCCATTTTAGCGAGACTTGCTGGCCAATGGGGCCCTGCTGTCTACCTTTTTCTACGCCCCCACGATCCCGGTGCTGAGGTTACAGACACACAGTTGACTTTCTACAGGGGTGCGATGGATCCAGACTCAGGTGTCATGCTTGTGTGACAAACACCTTGTCCACTGAACCTTCTCCCTAGCCCCAGCCCTGTTTCAGTCTTTCTGTCTCTGGACTCTCCCACAGGCTCTTCTTTTGAATGGATTGGGGGGGCTTGGACCTTTGCTCTTACTTTCCCCTTTCGGCTTCTCTGGCCACACCTACCTGAAAGGTCACAAAATATTCCTTCTTCTCCACTCATCCCTATGCCTATCCCCCACGACAGTCTCCAGAACCCTAACTCCCGGCTCCTTGCCACCCCCCCCCTTCTCTTGAGAATCCCAGTTCCGGGAGGACACCGCTCTTGTCTTCTGCAAACTCCTTTCCCCCCTCCTCCTTGGATGCCCTTCGCCATGCCCTATCCCCTGCCATGCTAGCAAACGAATGTGTTTTGAGGACAGATTTCTCCAGCTGCATGCTTATGAATCATATATGTTTGGCAAACTTATTCAGAGCTTTCTCTTTATCCTAAAGTGGTTTACAATGACAACCTGCTTCACAGAGCTTGTCTATGAGGACTGGGGGAGATATAGTTAAATGAAGTGCTTGGCCCAGTGCCTGGTACGTAGTAGGTAGGCATCCATTAAACAGTAACTATTGTTGTGCTCCTTTCATGGGGACTATTGAAGTTCTCTCCAGATCTTCTTGTCATTCTTTACCTTGGGAGGGGACTAACATGAAACACTTATTAAATGCCAGAGAACAATTGTATCTAGCAGTTAAGTCATCATCTTAGAAGTGAGATCAGCCAGTGCTTGGACATAGGTTTGACTGTTAACACTCCTGCTCCATAATTTACCCACTATCCTGCTCAAGAAAACCCTGGTCACCGTCTCCATACGGGAAGAGCCCAGACTGACCGGCCCAACACTCTCTCACTTCCCAGCAGTTCTCCTAGAAACCTGCCAGGGGCCCACAGGTACTCACAGAAGCCATCCCAACCCCATTCTGTAACCCTCCACTCCCTCCTTGTCCAATTCCAGCCTTTCTTCCAGGGCCTTGCTCGAGTTTCACCTCCTCTCTCGTACCTTTCTCGGGCCTCCTTGAGCCTGGACCCCTGGAATCTTTGCTGATGTTTGGTAGGTAGTATCCGGCTTTTCTCAGTGCTTACATTTTTCTTACTAGGTGCAACCCTCTACAGTGTGCACCTCGGTTCACGGGCCTCCTTTTTTGCTTTTGTGGCCCCAATAGGCCAGGGCACTGTGCGTAGAAGGTGTTCCATCAGTGTGGGGCAATTAGGGGTAAAGCAGAGAGCTTCCCAGGGCTGTCCCCCAACCCCTTTTAAGCACTGCCCAGGTTTCCTCTTTTTGTTTCTTAGCACTACCCCTCGAGGGAAGCCCCTGAGACCCCCTTCTCCGATGCCAAGCACTTCTTTAGCTCATTCTCTTTCAACCCAGTTTGTCTCCCTCGCCCCTTCTTCTCCAGTGTCACCCCTCGGTCTTTCTCCTCCAGTGCTAGACTAAGGCTGCAGACCCCAGGCCCGGTAGGGCCACCCCTGGGCCAGCATTATTTATCTGGCCTCTTCGCCCTCCCTCGGGGTTGCCCTCTTTGCACCCGGCGCCTCGAGCTAGCGCCTCCCGCAGCCCCGCCGCCGCCGCCCGCAAGTCCCGCTCGGGCGCTGCCCCCGCGCCCCCGGCCGCCCCTCGCCGGGGCGGGGCGCGCGGAGGCGGGGGCGCGCGGCGGCCGAGGCGGCGGCGGCGGCGAAGGCAGGCAGGCGGGCCGGGCGCGCGTCCGCGGCGCCGTGACTCGGCGGCTCCGCAGCGGCTGCAGCGGGAGGACCGGACCGGAGCCGCCGCCGCCGCCGCCGCCATCGCAGCCGGGCGGCTGGGCCCCCGCCGCCGGGATGCCGAGGAGCCGGGGCGGCCGCGCTGCGCCGGGCCAGGCCGCGCGCTCGAGCGCCTGGCGGGCCCCGGGGCGGCTGCTGCCACTGCTGCCCGCGCTCTGCTGCCTCGCGGCGGCGGCGGGGGCCGGAAAGCCGGCCGGGGCGGACGCGCCCTTCGCCGGGCAGGTGGGCAGGCATGCGGGGCCGGGGCTGGGGCCGGGGTCGGGCGGGGGGCGGGGGGCGGCACCGGTCGGGCCTCTCTCGGGAGGCGGGGGGGCCTGGCGCCGGGTCAGCGCTCGGACCGGGTGGGGCCCGCGGGCCGGGCTCCGTTCAGCACCGCGGACAGGGGCGGCGGGCGGGGGCGGAGCGGAGGGTCGGGATGGCCGCGGTGGCGGCCGAGCGTGTGGCCTGCAAGGCTGTGTGTGAGGGAAACCTACGACGCCTCGGAGTAAATAGTAAGCGCAGCCAGTGTGTTGTGGGCTGGAGAAGCCGAGGATGTTGGAGCTGGAGAAGGGGGAGGGAGGAGGGCGAGGACCGACCGGATCGCTGTCTTGGTGACTGAAGGGCCGGCTAGATCGGCGTGGTCTCACCGGGCAGAACCGAGGCCAACCGACAGTGTGGGGTGAGGGGTGGCAAGAAGGTGCATTTCGGCCCAATGCAGGAAGTTTGTAACAATTGGAGGTGCTCAGCCAGCCCAGAAGGCAGTGAGCTGCTCATCACTGGCATGTGAAGTCGGAGCTCCAAGAGGGGATTGGATAGATGCATGCATTATGCCTGTATGGATACACGCATAATAATAGTCGTGCACTATGGGCCAGGCTTGGCGCTACATTTGATAGGAATTAACTCATTTAATCCCAGTATGAATTTTGTGAGCTGACTGGAGTACCTGTCCCCATTTTACAGATGAGCAAAGAGACCCTGAGAGCTTAAGTAATTTGCCCAAGGTCACAGAGCTAGCGAGTTGACTCTAGTCTCTTCATGTTTAAACCAGATATATTATATCACACAGTGTATGCTCTCTCCCAACCTGGAAGCCCGGAATTCTAATAAATAATGTTGAAATGGTGTTAAATGTTGCTGGGGGAAATTAGTGACTGCCTGAATTACCCTGAGAGGAGTGTGTTTGTTAAGCAGGCATTCTGTTTAGAAGAATTTGCCAAAACAGCAGGTTTTTAACTGGGCAAGAGACTCAAGAGATCATAAATTCTCTGAAATTTTCTGCTAATTTGTATTTACATGTGAAAATGTATGGTTTTCTAGAAGAAAATCCCTAGATTTTTTTCAGACTCTCCAAAGAAGATAGGTTGAAAAAAATTAGAATGTGTGAAAGAATCCTTTGTCCCAGCCAATAGTTGGCCTCCTAAGGGTTTATCATTGTTACCTGACTTTCCGTGAAAACTTTCTCTAGCTTGTTTGTGGGTTTAGCTCTATCACACATCAAAGTGATGTGATTCATGGGTTTCCATCGTAGCAGAAGTCGGGTTCTTCAAGACTGCCTGAATGTGTGCAAGGTGGTTGGAAAGGGCCCTACCCTGGAGATTAGGGTGTGTGAGCTCTCAGCTGACCTTGGCCCCTGGAGGTTTGTGACTTTGAGCCATCTTTCTGCCATGGCTCTCATGGTCTGAGAGATGCAGCTGAATAAGCTCAAGTCGGAGACCTTTTATGCCCGTGGTATTGCTCGCATTAAGAGAAGACAGTTTGCTTAGATATGTCAGGGTTTGGAGAGAAGGTTACATTTACTCAGTGCTTATCCTTACCAGCCTTACAGGCTTCAATTATTCCACTCTCACGCCCTTCTCCATTTTAAACTTAAGCTCTCCCATCCTGACAGGCCACCTCCCATCACATTCATCCTAGGTTTTTTTTTTTTATGTTCTCTGTGGATATCTGAAGGAGTCCATTTTCAACCTGACTACTGTCTCCAGATGTGGCGTTCTTTTAAAGAGAACGATAATTTCTTCTTTGATTTTTGGGTCCTGTCCTGTAACATCCTTTTATTAGATATCCTGATCTACGTACGCATAACAGACCACAGCCTTTGGGGAATACCCACAAGAGCACCCTGGCCCCTTTCACGGGCTAAAACTGATAGCCTGGAACACGATACCTTGTTGTGGATTATTTTTATGGGACCGATTGACTTACATTCTCCACGTTGATATCCCCACCTCCCACCCCCTTCCACCCTTGGCAGAGCATTTCCCTGCCTGAAAGGACTTAATATTTACTGCAGTCCTGGAATTTTCTCTTTGCTCTACTTTTTCTGGATCACTTATAAAAAAATTAAGTCAGACAGGTCCCAGTATAGTCTCCCTTGAGCTCCTTACCCTTTTCCATTCAGAGAAGTGACTGGCTGTTTCCATCTGGTTTTCCTATCCTTAATGAAGACATGGCCATCCCAGTCCATTTATATAGTATCTATCCAAAACTTTTAGAAATTATTAAGATAATTTGCACCTCATTACCCCTTCACTGAACACTACTGGGTGACATGATGGAAACTTTATAGAAATATCATTGCTTTTCAGCTCACAGATAATGTTGTTCATTCCCCTGTCTGTCTTGAGGCCCCTGGAGTCCAGCCCCTCCCCCATTAGTGGCCACCTTTCTCACTCTTCATAGATAATGCATCCAGACTCCAGATAAGCTTACCCTTCGTTTATCCCAAGACAGGCTGCCAGGGTTCCCTGGACGTGGTCATGTGTTATACCTGTACCCATTCTGTCAGAGGCCTTTCCTTCATATTCAAGCTCACACCTGCCTCCCTAGGAAACCCCTCCCTTCCCCCAGCACCATTTATTCCTCTCAGGGGACCATTTAGTGACATCTCAGTCAATGTGTCATTTAATTTTTGAAAACACTTGCACATTGTTTGGGAAGAAAAAGGTTGTGGATCTTGGTCAAGTTTCTTCCCGACCAAGATCTAACACAATCCTCGACCTTAAATACTTACATTAAGCATTGTGTTCTTATGTCCAAGGGTTACACTCACCTGGAATGGGCACCCGTAGACACATAGGTTTCAAGATCCCTTCTGAAAACCTTTTTTAGGGAATAGAGATATGGGTTAGCTGACACAGTGTTTTCTGTGCAAGCATGAGACCTCAGTGCAATCCCCAGCACCCATGTAAAAAGCCTGAGGGAACACTCATTTGTTGTCCCAATTTTCGGGAGGAGGAAACAGGGTCCCTGGGGCTCAATAACCATCTATCTAATTCTAATTGATGAGCCTCAGGTTCCAGCGAGAGACCCTGTCTCAAAGAGAAAAACAAAAACAAAAAACTAAGACAAGATGGATGGCTCATGAGGAACAACACCTGCACATCTAACACACACACACACACACACAGAAAGAGAGGTACTGCACACACATACATACACATCTAACACACACACACACAGAAAGAGAGGTACTGCACACACATACATACACATCTAACACACACACACACACACAGAGGTACCACACACACATGCTCACCTGCACATCTAACATACACAGAGAGAGAGAGAGAGAGTACCACACACACATACATGCACATCTAACACACACACACACACAGAGGTACCACACACACATGCTCACCTGCACATCTAACACACACACAGAGAGAGATAGAGAGGTACCACACACACATGCTCACCTGCACATCTAACACACACACAGAGAGAGATAGAGAGGTACCACACACACATGCTCACCTGCACATCTAACATACACAGAGAGAGAGAGAGAGAGAGAGAGAGAGAGAGAGGTACCACACACACATACATGCACATTTAACACACACACAGAGGTACCACACACACATGCTCACGTGCACATCTAGCACACACACACATAGAGGTACCACACACACACACAGAGGTACCACATACACATGCTCACGTGCACATCTAACACACACACAGAGGTACCACACACACATGCTCACCTGCACATCTAACACAGAGAGAGAGAGGTACCACACACACAGAGGTACCACACACACATGCTCACCTGCACATCTAACACACACACACACACACAGAAGTACCACACACACATCCTTGCATGCACACATACACATAAAAAACTTCTTAAAGGATGCATTGTATAGACTTCCTTCCTGGAACTGGAGTCTACTCCCCTGTTGCAAGCAGTAGTGTCACAATTCACCTTTGAAATCTGCCATACCTCCTTAGGTGGGCTGTCATCCAATAATGGTGACCTACAGGGAAGAGGGAATGAGAGCGGTGGCCATCACTGTAGCAGTCACCAAGTAAACACACTGAAGCTCTTAACCGCTATTTCTTCAATTGTCTTAAATCAGGTATCCAAGGACACAAACCTTGATTGTCAATGATTCAGACCAGAGCTGGTCCCTGGCCTCCTGGCTTCTAAATTGGAAGTGTTTTTCTTTACTGCCTTTGGCTTTTGATTTCATGTATCTGGTCTTTCATTACCAAGCCAGAAAAAAAAAAGATTCAGTCTGTTTTTGCTTTTGCTTTCTCAAGAGCTTCTTTTGTACTTTGTATTTGGGGTGAGGGAAGGGCGCTATCAAGTCTCTAATTGGCTCCTTGCCTTTGGTTTATTTAAAGCACCCCCTTTCTCTTAGTGCTAGTTGGAGAGAATCCCCATCTTCGGTTTTGTCCTTCCAAGAATAATTTGATTTTGAGGAAAATCAGAGTAGATAAAAATGAGATAAGCCAGTGAGCCCAGGCCGCATGAGCAACAGTATGAGTCTGAGATTCAGGCTATAATGGAGTCCTGCCCATGAGACTGGTTTTGAGTGACGTGCTCTGAGCAGATGGAGAACACTCTCGGGTTTGCACCTGCAGTCCAGGAAGGGAAGAGCCCTGGATGAGTCTGAGGCTGAGACAGTCCTATTAGGAAATACTGAAAAATTCCCTAGTCCCCGATGGATGCTTTCAGTACCTCTGTAGGCTCCCGTACATTCCTCTCTTGTCTGGGGGAAGGGGGCCATTAAAATTTCTCTCTGTGACACGAGCTAAACTCGTCCTACATCTTATGTTACTGTGGATTTTCCTGGTGTCCTGCCAGGAGGGGTGTGTAAGGAGCTTCGAACTTTCCAGACCTTATCACGATGTGTGGTCCTGGCAACGGCCTCATGAAGGAGCCAAGGAAGCTGTGCTCACTTCATGGGTGAGTAAACAGCGGCTCAGAGGGATGACGGGGCTTC